TACAGGTGTACGGGGGGTTTCAGGTCACATGGCCTGTGTAAGGTTTCAGTTTTTGTTTTGCCATCCACTGTTGCCTGACATGCCCCACCCACCCACCCGTGAAGTACTTGTAGAATGTGTTAAGTTGAGGTGAAATTATTCTCTAGCCATTTTTTGTGTCATTGTAAGACAATTATGTTCTTATGTTAATTAAGGTCAGGCTGTGTGGTTCGGCTTGGCATGGCTCCCAGCGGTGTGTGAGAGGTCTTCTTGACACCTTTTTCTATAAAGCAGTTAAACTTTGAGAGTTGATAAAACATGCATTATATTCACTAAAATAGTCAGAACTTTCAAAAGAAGCCAAAAGTAAAACCTCACTGACACCGTTTTTTTGCGTGATTTTGGGCAATGTTTCCTCCAAGTTTCAGTGAAAAACATTGAAAACTTGCCAGAAACGAACTTAAAATGTGCTCTTCACTTGCTGAAATTTTTGTTTCGAGATACAAAGGAAAATATACTTTGGGGCGTTCTTCTGGTGTAATGAGATAATTAGTACAAAACATGTGATAATAATGACATGTTTATTGATAAAGCGAAGACTCATTTTACTTTAACAATATCTAGCTCATATCAGTTACAAAGGAGTCTCAAATGTTGCCTCCAGCAGGAAATATCCTTTGCAAGATCTGAATAAAATAATTTTCGTTTCTGTTTCTTCCTTTTGATTTTGAAAACACCTTAGCTTAGAGATGCTGTAGACAACAAAAGAGCACATTCATAAACAATGTGTGTAATGGCCATGAGAATGTGATACTGATTGAACTGACATGTTACTGTGAAACGGCGAAAGCACCAATGAAGTAATGCTTAGAGAATGTCAAACATCTTCCTCATCCAGTGCAAGCAACTTCTCCTGCTCAAAGCAGGATCAAACCTTTGTTACTAGAAGCTATTGTAACGTATCAGCCCAATTCTGATTGAATGTCTTTGAAACCTTCCCCCGGCCTTTTCCTCTGTGGTGCTTCTTCACACTTGCAAATGGAAAGGAACGTTTACGTTTCTTCAATGACAGATTTATGTTTAATTCAACAATCTACAAATGTAGAACACTCCGAACAGCTTGTCGACAAACAAATGTTTGACAGTTGTACATACACGGCAATTGGTCATGCAACCTTTTAATACAAAGAAATGCTTTTCGTTCATAACTTTGCTTTATAGAATCAATCTTTTTTTATGGAAATTTTTTTCAATGAAAGATCACAATGAGATCTATCTGAAAAAGCAAAAAACATTTTTTTTTGAAAAGTGGTCAATTTTGGGGTATACTGATACCTTAACTCAAAACCTCTTGTTCTCATTGTTCAGCAAGCACTGAGTTGCTGGTTCAACTTCAGGTTGAAGTTGTTATGCTGGTAAAGTCCTTTTTGTGTACTTTCCTTTTCTTTGATCTTTTTAAAAGGCATGTCTTAGAACAGTGAGTATACTTTAGTTCTTTTCCCCCAGGTGGCTGATGGGGCCAGATTGGGTAAATCCTTTAACTATATACTCAGATTTTTGGTGTAAACCCTAGGGCAGATCTAGGGGGATTCAGGAGGTTCAGTTGATCCCCCTAAATTAAAAAAAAACAAAACAATGAGACATAATAACACTCTGACTTGGCCTAAGAATGCTGGAAATCCCATTTCCAAGGAAGGATATCCCCGGACCCCCCTGCCTACAGGGGACTGCCTTTGGTGGTCCATATCTTGAACCCCCTTCTCTAAAATCCTGTATCTGCTCCAGAAACCCAAACACTGTGGAGATACAGTATATTATGTTTATCTGTACGAACTCTCAATGTTTTCTTGGCAGCTTGTTAGTAGAATTAGAATTTTTGCTTTAGTGGCAACTAATAGGGGACTTTAATCTTGTATTTCAGAAGAAATGTCAACAGGAAAGAAATTGGATCAAAACCTTGACAATAAGGATGATGTAGAACTAGTCCATGGCAGGTAAGCAAAGTAAATAACAACTCTTGATTAATCAAATAAGTGATTGTTGGTCTTTTCCATGACTTCCAAAAATGTTCCCTCAAAATGATAATTCGTGATTCCAGAAAATATCCATAGCTATACCACGGGTGGCTTTTGGGAATTCTGAGAGCAAGGGGGGTTCTTTGAACTGGAAATCCAAAGGCATGGGAGGTACTTATGATTGGAATTCTGAGGGCATGGGGGGTTTTGTAGAGGGGACAGACCAGAATGTGAAAGCACAAATGAACTGACAACACTGTTGACTACTGCGGAAAACAAGATGTGTTCACGTTCATTTAGAGACGAAAAGCAATAAAATCTGGATC